GCCTGGTACTGTAAGTAATCCTTGGTCAATCTGAACACTGTCGAGCTATTACGAATTTCATCTGATAACTTGACTTCAAAAGCCACCGTGTTACAGAAGCTTGTAAATGCTAGAGAATATAGTCCACATTACAGGCTTTCTGTCGAGGGCTATCCTCGACAGAAAGCCTGTAAACATTAAGTATTTGCATTTTTCCGATGGGATTCTGTGATTGGTTGTATTCATTGTAATCCAATCAAATCACTGCATCACGTGATATAAGAAAACCGTAGACTGTTTTGTCTAGAAATAGAAATATTCTATTTCACTATATGATTATTTAATTATTACTATTAAATTATTTAATCTAGAGTCTACAATAGTAAATAGTAACGTTTTATATACGTTTTACTAAAGGGAGGGAATTCTTTGCAATTTCATTTGACCACGGCAGCGGCTTATGAGAATTGTTTTAATCAAATTTTTGTTGTTTGTTTATAATAGTATCTAATTAGTTGCACAGAGTTGGTCAAACGACCACCCATGATAAGTCTTTGGAGTACTGTAATTCGAAGCATTGCACGGAGGTACATTGAGTACCTCTCAATTTAAGAGAAAGTCCCATTGTCCAATATTCCCCCTCTGTTAAACTCTATAAAGTATCTTCCCCTTTAATCTGTCTCTTTCTCTATACCATTGTTTTCTTCACTGTCTATCTAAGTTACAATCTGTTCTTCCCTACTTCACTCTTCCTGTCTCGTTGCCGATTTTTCTGCACTTCCTCTTTACTCTTACTTGCCCGTTTCAATTCACACTCTATTAAACTCCTTTAATGTTATTGTTTACACTCTGCTGCACTCCCCTATTATTGTTCACACTCTACTAAACTTCCTTCGTGTTGTTGTTCACACTCTGCTCCACTCCCCTATTTGTTTTTATTTACAATTTATTTCCTTCCTTCTTGTTATTAATTACTCTACTAAACTCCTTTCTTGTTATTGTTCACACTCTGCTAAATAAACTTCTTGTTATTGTTCACACTCTGCTGAGCTCCACTATTTGTTATTGTTCACACTCTGCTGCAATCCCCTATTTGTTTTTGTCACTCTCTGCTGCACTCCCCTATTT